AAAGTAATATTTTAAGTTCATATCTGATCATGGTCTGCATAAGGAGCAATGTAAAAGAAACATTTTTGCTTTAATATTCACCCGAACCTTTGTATGGTTATGTGTGAGTACATGTGTGTATATAAATGTATTATATATATGTGACTGTGAATATATTACATATACTTATTCTATCTATCTATCTATCTATCTATCATCTATCTATCTATCTAAAAGTCTAAGCAACTGTCCTACCGGTAGGTATGACACTCAGTGACCAGCAGGGGGCAGATGCTCTGACCGGTAGCCATGATGCACACTGACCACCAGCAGGAGCTGCCGAGCTGTGGTGACTTGGCAGCTGCAGTTCTCTGGTGACGCACCTGGAACCAAGAAGAGGGATGCGTCACCTGAGAACCGCCCTCTCGCAATCTGGGACCCCTCAGGGGATGTTGGAGAGCTGGTTTCAGTCCGATCCCTGCAGGCCAGGCCGAGGGACCCCACTGGTGCACAAATTCATGCACCGGGCCTCTAGTATTTATATATTTTAAATTACTATTTTCAGTCCTCTTCCCAGAGGAATTTTAGACTACAATATGGTATATATTTTCTTAGAGTTTGCATCATGTCATCACAACTCTACTCTCTTAACAGGTTTCATGAACGTTTAAAATGAGTGATTTCAGAATATGTAGTTTAACACACATTATGACCCTTAAATTATTTTAGTTCTATGTTTCAGTTTGTATAAAATAAACACCCTATTTTAGCAATAATTACTGTTCATATTTTTGTCTTTTTAAAGGAATAGGAGTATTAGGATTTATAGGGAAAGTGTTTTTGTGCTTATTTTTATGAGTTACATTTAAACATTTTTGCAGACTCTCAGCAGGATTAATGGCAAGGTCCCCGTTAATAGGTCCTCTTGTTCAACATCCTAAATGGATGCATTTTGTTACCTCCCCTTTCTTATTTCTCTAAAAGGGTACTTATTGCAGTTAGTGCACATACTTCAGGCTTCTTTTACTAAGTTGCTAAGGAACTTTTACATTTCAGCATCTTTTTCCAGTGTTCTTTTCATCATATTTATTAAATACTTTTTGCATACATTATGTTGTGGAGAGAGCTCCCTGCCTACTGAACAGTTTTCCATTCTAATACCAGCTCAGTCAGTTGATAGTGATTGGTTTAGAGCATTGTTTTGAGCATTGGTTTAGAGCATTGCCCCCAACTGCCCTCCCCTGCAGGCCTGGGTCCCCCCTCTTTGTTCTCCCTTGCAGGCCTGATTGCCCACAACTGCCCTCCCCTGCTGGCCATCTTGTGTTCACATGGGGGCGGCCATCTTTGACCACATGGGGGGGGGCATCTTGTGTGTTGGAGTGATGGTCAATTTGCATATTACTCTTTATTAGATAGGATATGCTAAGGCCAGGAGGAAGACCCTCAGACAGGTAGGTGAGCTTGCTGCTGGGATCCGTTCTATTGGGACTGAAGCCCTGAAGCCCTCCTGTGGTCCCTCCCTGCTGGCCAACCTCCTGTGTCCTTCCCTGGGCCCGATCATGCACCGGTGGGGTCCCTTGGCCTGGCCTGCACCCTAGGGGGATGTCAGAGAGCCAGTTTTAGCCCGATCCCACAGGCCAGGCCAAGGGACCCCACTGGTGTATGAATTCATGCACTGGGCCTCTAGTTTGTACATAATAAGAACGTATCCTGGTAAAGTTTCAAGAATAAAGAAAAGATTATTCTATCCAAACTGAAAATTCAAATGATCAGGCTGCTCTCAGCCTCCTCTGTAGAAACATTTCATGCCAGAAGACCCTACAAGGTTCTGAGGGCCAGGGTGTCCCAAGAATATCATTGGCAGGAGCTCAGCTGGGCTAGAGAGAGAGAGATGAGCTGTCAGGAGTTAGAGTAGCCAATTTAAGCAACAAGCCCAAAATGAAAGAGCTAAACTCTGGAATGCTATGAGCAGGAGCAGGACCTGGAGCAGGTGCTGACCCCTGCTGCGTTTCCCCAGGGAGCGGCCGCCTCTGGAGGGTCAGGCCCTTCCAGGTATGCTCTGTGAGCACAAGGCATTCCCTCCAGCGTTTCTTCTGTAAAGTGAACACAATGTTAGGCCTTCTCAGTAAGGGAGAGCTGGGGGACAAAGTAGGAGGAAGAGGCTTCTTCAATTCCTGGCCCACAGGAGGGAGATGGTCAGCAGTGTGGGTGTGCGGACATTCGGTGGAGCTGGCCCCAGCCTAAGGCCCGGAAAACCCTCCCTCCAGGACACTGTAGCAGCCTCTGTCTGGTGCAAGCCTTTCCAGAGCCCTCGTCAAATATGGAAACCAGAGCCCTGTCGATGCTTGCACACGGCCGCCTGTGGCCGGAGGGCACGCACAGTGGGCACTCCCTCTGCAAGCTCCAGGCAGACCCCGTGCTGTGCAGGTCGCCTGCTGTCTACATAGGGTTGCTGGCCACCTGGTCTCTCACCTGCACTCAAAAGCTCCCTCTTCACACAAAGGAAGTCACCAACACAATGAATAGTCAGCCCACTGAGTGGGAGATTTTGCAAACCATACATCTGATAAAGGATTAATATCCAAAACATATAAAGAACTCTACTTATTCTTATCTATCTATCTATCTATCATCTGTCTATCTATCTAAAAGTCTAAGCAACTGTCCTACCGGTAGGTATGACACTCAGTGACCAGCAGGGGGCAGATGCTCTGACCGGTAGCCATGATGCACACTGACCACCAGCAGGAGCTGCCGAGCTGTGGTGACTTGGCAGCTGCAGTTCTCTGGTGACGCACCTGGAACCAAGAAGAGGGATGCGTCACCTGAGAACCGCCCTCTCGCAATCTGGGACCCCTCAGGGGATGTTGGAGAGCTGGTTTCAGTCCGATCCCTGCAGGCCAGGCCGAGGGACCCCACTGGTGCACAAATTCATGCACCGGGCCTCTAGTATTTATATATTTTAAATTACTATTTTCAGTCCTCTTCCCAGAGGAATTTTAGACTACAATATGGTATATATTTTCTTAGAGTTTGCATCATGTCATCACAACTCTACTCTCTTAACAGGTTTCATGAACGTTTAAAATGAGTGATTTCAGAATATGTAGTTTAACACACATTATGACCCTTAAATTATTTTAGTTCTATGTTTCAGTTTGTATAAAATAAACACCCTATTTTAGCAATAATTACTGTTCATATTTTTGTCTTTTTAAAGGAATAGGAGTATTAGGATTTATAGGGAAAGTGTTTTTGTGCTTATTTTTATGAGTTACATTTAAACATTTTTGCAGACTCTCAGCAGGATTAATGGCAAGGTCCCCGTTAATAGGTCCTCTTGTTCAACATCCTAAATGGATGCATTTTGTTACCTCCCCTTTCTTATTTCTCTAAAAGGGTACTTATTGCAGTTAGTGCACATACTTCAGGCTTCTTTTACTAAGTTGCTAAGGAACTTTTACATTTCAGCATCTTTTTCCAGTGTTCTTTTCATCATATTTATTAAATACTTTTTGCATACATTATGTTGTGGAGAGAGCTTCCTGCCTACTGAACAGTTTTCCATTCTAATACCAGCTCAGTCAGTTGATAGTGATTGGTTTAGAGCATTGTTTTGAGCATTGGTTTAGAGCATTGCCCCCAACTGCCCTCCCCTGCAGGCCTGGGTCCCCCCTCTTTGTTCTCCCTTGCAGGCCTGATTGCCCACAACTGCCCTCCCCTGCTGGCCATCTTGTGTTCACATGGGGGCGGCCATTTTGGACCACATGGGGGGGGGCATCTTGTGTGTTGGAGTGATGGTCAATTTGCATATTACCTTTTTATTATATATGGTGTATATATAATATATATATATTCATATAATTTCATATCAATTCTCAATTGTTTTGAGAATTCTTTTACTGTATCCATATTGTTTAGCAGAAAGGATTACCTTGATTGATTAGTGCTGTGTGACCATAAGCATTGGATGGAACTGAATGGCGATGTATGGATTCATTCCTTCATACATGATTATCAGCTGTTTTTTTGACTTCACTTGAAATAGTTTATGATTTCCTATACCAGCAGTTGCCAACCTTTCGAACCTCATGGACTACCAGTGGTCCGCGGACCACTGGTTGGCAACCGCTGTTCTATACTATTGTTTATCCTGACCTTTCTCTGTCAAAACAGAATTAATCATCCCTTTATTGTTGCTATGATAGCCTATTATTATCTTAATTGTAACACATATCTTCATTTAATCATTTCCTTGTCTGGCTTTTTTATGGATTGTAAACTTCGTAAAGGAAAGGACAGTATTTTATTTATCTGTATATCCTTAACACCTAATACTGTGCTTCGTACATGTTCTACATAGCCAAAAAATGAGATAGTTCATTATTTCCTTGATGATCTGGATGATGTGTGGTATGAACAATGAGACATTTATTATGTTTGAAGATAGGTGATTAGGCCTCGGTTCTAGGACGGTGGTGCAGTGAACCAAAAGGAAAGGCAGATGCTTTAGATAAGATTAGTCAAGTCTGTTTTTTTGGAATGCAGAGGAACTTGGTGTTTTGAACTCCATGTCTGAGAGAATGGTGGTACCATTAGAAAAACAAAGTTGGAAAGGGGGTGGATTTGGATGAGTTTGGTTTTGAAGATGTTGGATTTTGATTGAAAATGTTTGTTTAAGGATTTGGTAGTTGGGCTAGTTGGAGAGCCTCCTGTGTTATATGCTTCTTCATAGCACTCTACTTGATTGCAATTGCTTATTCAATGTCCATCTTTCCCTTTAGGCTCTAAGCTCCAGTAGGGCTGGGAAAATGTCTTGTTCAATGCTGTATCCTCACTTACAAACACAGTTACTATTTGGCACATGGTGGGCACTCAGTAAATAATTGTTCAGTGGTTTAACTTCCGTACTATTAGTTGACTTAAATTGTATACTATATTGACTTTATATTGCTAATTAGGGTTACTAGTTTTTAAATTACTTGGATAATTGCTTTTTATAGAATCATTGGACATTTAGACTTGAACTCTTAGAAATCTTTGGCAAATCCCCCAGTTGGACCCTGGAAAGGTAAAGTCATCTACCCAAATTTATTATTTATTCAAAAAAATATAAATATGATACATGTCTTTCAGGCTAATAAAGGGAAGGTAGAAAGATGGTTTAAATAGATGGTGATTTCATAGGTTTTCTCTTGTTTAATCATTTCTCTCCTCTCTAGTGCTTTGTCCAATGGCATGGAAAAGATTAGAAAGGAGATGAAATTTTATTTGTGCTTGCTTGCAACAGATTTTTGGAGTTTCTAATGATTAACATGAGGTTTAGATAAGATATTGATTTTGTTTCCTCCTCCTTTGTCATGTTAGCATGGTTAATCATGTTCTTGGTTTACCATTATTTGATAATATAATTATAAATATTCATATGAGTTATTTGGCTCTGTTTAAACAATACCATCTGTAAAACAAAGTTTAGAAAAAGTGGATCTGCCTGAGACCACAATCAAAGGATATAATTTTAAAAGTCAGTAAATTTTTATTTTTAAGGTGTGGACATTAATCATCAGATTAAAATAAACTTCCAGTATTTTATTTTATAGCTTCCCAAACAGAGACAGTATACTTTTGTTTAGAACAAATAACCACTCCCCTGCCAGCCTGATCGACACCTAACTGTCCCCTGCCGGTCCGATTGCCCCTAACTGCCCTCTCCTGCCAGCCTGGTCTCCCCTAACTGCCCTCCCTTGCCAGCCTGGTTGCCCCTAACTGCCCTCCCCTGCCAGCATGATTGCCCCCAACTGCCCTCCCCTGCAGGCCTGGGTCCCCCCCATTTGTTCTTCCTTGCAGGCCTGATTGCCCACAACTGCCCTCCCCTGCTGGCCATCTTGTGTTCACATGGGGGCGGCCATCTTTGACCACATGGGGGGTCCATCTTGTGTTTGGAATGATGGTCAATTTGCATATTACCTCTTTATTATATATGATATATCACACACACTCTGTATTTTTTTTGTTTTTTTGTTAGTCTTCACTCGATATTTTTTCATTGATTCTTAGAGAGAGATGGAACATCTGTGTGAGAGAAACACATCATTTGGTTGCCTTCTGCATGTGCCCCAACTGGGCCGGGGATCAAGCCTACAACCGAGATATGTGCCCTTGACTGGAATCAAACCTGGGACCCTTCAGTCTGAGGGCCAACGCTCTATCCCCTGAGCCAAACTGGCTAGGGATAAATGTATTTTTTAAATAATTGTTTTTGCTTTTTTAAATTTCAGTATCAAGATAAAGAGGAAGTTGTTTTATGGATGAATACTGTTGGGCCCTACCATAATCGACAAGAGACATATAAATACTTCTCACTTCCATTTTGTGTGGGGTCAAAAAGAAGTATTGGTCATTACCATGAAACTCTGGGAGAAGCACTTCAAGGCGTTGAATTGGAATTTAGTGGTCTGGATATTAAATTCAAAGGTAAGTACACCTTATTTTTATTTTTTTTTTATTTTTTTTTTAATTAAATCTTTATTGTTCAGGTTACATTTGTTCCTCTTTTTTTCCCCCCCATAACTCCCCTCCTCCCAGTTCCCG